CATGGCTCTCCAATTTAGAGAGAAGGATGTTGTGGGGGACCGTGTCAAAGGCTTTACAAAAATCCAGATAGATGACATCCATTGGTTTTCCCTTGTCCACCCTTGTTGTTACAATTGACTTCAGCAATTCATGAGTAGAGTTTACAAGCCCTATGTACTTTTTCACATGCCTGCTTACAGCGCTGTAGCTCTGGGTGAATTTTTCTAGGCAAGAGTGTTTTACAGAATAATAGAAATACTGTTTTTCTTTTCAGGCTGTGAAGCATGTTACAGAACCGTGCAAGTGGATGAAGGGGAAAGGAAAAAGTGCCATTGATAGCTAGGATAGCAACATGGGAAATACAACCACCAAATTCCGCAAAGCTCTTATAAATGGAGATGAAAACCTGGCCTGCCAAATCTATGAGAGCAACCCTCAACTAAAAGAAACTCTTGACCCAAATATGTCTTATGGAGAAACGTACCAGCACAATACTCCTCTCCATTATGCTGCTAGGCATGGAATGAACCGTATACTGGGGTAAGTATGATTTAGAGTTTTGCTTGGGTGTGAATAACTGACCTAAGAAATGCAAGGGTGTCAACTAGGTTATAAATACCTTATATGCGTATGTGTGTCTGTGTTGCAGACACAGAATTTGTAACATGTTAAAGTATTAGTAGAAGACATGCAAATTGGTCTATAATCACAGACTGGTATAACAGTTTTTATTTTTAGTATCTTTGTTCCTTCCCTATAACATTAGTCTTGGACAGGTTTAGCTTGCTTCCTGAAGACTCCTGTACCACGGTTCTTTGACTACAGTGACTGTTCCACTGCTCTTGATGCGCTTTCCTGCCTGAAAATAATCTGTTTGTAAAGCCGCACCAAATGGATACCATACTGATTGTATCTGCTTCCAGATGGCACAATATATGTTTATTCTTGTGTTACTCAGGCAGCTTTTATTTTTCAATTTGGATAATAACAGTGAACATTAAGATCTTGATAATGAGTAAGTTTGTTATTGCCGCAGTCAACATGTATGGCAATCTGTAGTGTTAGCTGTTTCCATTCTTCTGTATTTTTGTCAGTGCTCTAAGATCAATTAAAGATTAACATAGTATCCATGTCTAGACATTGCAGGTACAAGCTGTTCTTGTCTAGTATTTTGTGAAGTTAGTACTGAGTAGACATTGCAAAACCCCTTCTTCAGTAGGGAGGAAGTTAGAGAGAATTTCATAAATGTCCTCTTCCTTCTATTAGGAAACAGAACAAAAAATATATACTGAACTGTATTGTCGTCAATATTCTTGTCATCTCTGTGTTTACGCCTACTGATGGGCCTGTGGTATTCATAAGGTTTGTGGTTTGTTTTGTCCCTCATATGCTGTAACTTTACAGGCTATCTGTCCTCCCACCATAAATTTTAGGCCTCCCACCTCAGTATTTTAGGTTCACCTAACAGTTTTTTATACTTTGCAATTTCTCATTTTTCTTGATTTTTGCTTTTTCTGTTTTTCTCCTTTCTGCTGTGCATTCTGTATTTCTGGTTTTAACTGATGTTTTCATTTCATCACTGAGTCTTTTTGTTTGTTTGTTTCTTAACGTCTCCAAACTTTCGCCTATTCCCAATTCTTGAATTGTAGGAAAAATTTAACTAAGCTTAATTTATAATAGCATCCCATTTTATTTACATTTTCTGTGTGTTTTTTTTTTTCTCTGAGATTTTCAGGTTATTTCTCTCAAGAAAATATCTCTTAAGAAAATATAGCCTCATTGAAACAACAAGGACACTTGAAATTGTTTGCAAATGTGGAAAGAAATGAAGTCACAAGTACTGACTTCCGAGTAGTCTGTTGGTTAATTCATATTGCACCATTATGATGAGGTCTCGAATAATTGCTTTGTGTTAAAAAAATTTAAAAAGTTAATTTAGAAATGGCATTTTACTATTAGCTGAATGGGACCTTTAACATTAAGTCTCACAGGACAACTCAATGTTATTTTTCACGCATTTCAAACAAATGACCAAAGGAATCATTCCTATTTCTAGTTTGAGTCCAAGATTTGCAATACATTTTTTGCCAGTAAACATAGTGAAGGTGCTATTATTTGCTAGAGTATGCTTCTGAAAACCTGGACTGTTAGAATTGTTGCTATTGCTAGGATTAATTTGCTGAGGTTCTTTTACTATTTACTTCTCTGCTGTCTTTCTAAGGACTTAGTTCAGAACTCCTCTCTAACATATGCTGCACAAAGACATAGCCTTTTTATCTAGACAAAGTAGTAAGAGTGAATAAATATCAGACTTAGTGTGCCTCTTTGCAAGTTGATAGTAGAAAGGGCACGAGCGATTTCCAGTTAAGCCTCTTCCTTTAGATACAGAGAATCCTTGATATGGAAGAGATTAAATAAATTGAATATTAAAACAAATGCTTCAATTTACTGATAAAGTGCAGTAGCTAAAAATAAATGAATTTTACTGTTTGTATTTTGAGAGAGATTTGCAATTATGAGATACCCATAATACTATAACCTTTTATATTTATCTCTTATTAAACATTTTAAGGATTTGGGAATCTGTAGCTGCACTAACTTGTAGGTCAGACTCGAGGTGTTACTAATATGTATACTATATCATTCCATTTTTTGTTATAGGCTGGTATTTGTGTTATTGTAGGTAGATGTGAACTGATGTGTTTTATGATTCACTGTGTGAAATTTTCTCAAACTAGATTAGTGCGACGCAGTTGTCAGTACACCTTTTGCATAACAGAATGTATTGAGAGGTATTCTGGGATGTTCAGAAATAACCTACCTGGCAATGCTGTCACTGAATACTGAGGCAAAGAGGCAAACTCCCTGTTACCAGATGTGTGGCTGATGGTGACTGTCTGCAGGCACGGTGAAAGCACAGGCACCGGGTTTGCAATGGAAGGGAGCTGGGGACATCCTGATATAGCAATCCTGGAAGTGAAGAAACAAGACACTGGAGAAGAGGTGAAAGGGTCATGAAGCAAAACTCCTAACCTGGACAAACTTTGTGTAATTGAGCACGAAGTCTACTGGCAGAAACTTAAAACAAGGAAAGTTTCTCAGTGGTTTTGAACTGCACAGTTGTTTTACAGCAGGTGTCTGAGTCATCTGTCCTCTGCGCCTTTCAGCCAGCAGTTACAGCTCACAAACTGGATTTGGTATATAATCGAGCTGTAAAAATTGGAAAATTTGCTGTTGATTTCTCTTCTCTTCACAAGATTCAGCAAGAGTGTATTAAAATACTAGATTTCTATGATCATTTTTCATGAGTGTCATAGAAAGCTTTGGTATATTATAAATGTTGAAATAAAAAATGGAAAGTAGTTAGGCATTTGGTTAATATATAACTTTTGTTTGGTCTACTGCCCTAAATAATGTTTACCTGACAGATCAGTTTATTTTAACAGAGCATTTAATGTTTAAAAACCAAAAAGTCATTGGTCACAGCTAGTTAGCAGAAACAAGAATTTTCAAAGCACTGCTTGAAGTTGCCAGAAGTCATTACATAGTGCCCGGCAGTTCCCTGTAGCTGACAGCTGACTCGTTTTCTCTGTCTGGTTAGTAGGGTTATGCAGTTCGGAGTTTGAGTGAGGTGGTGTGATGGAGGTCTCATCCCCAGGAGCACAGGGCAGCGGGGGGAACCCGGTGAGCTCATCAGGGAGGAGCCCCTGCTCCGGGCTGTCACAGGAGAGCTGTTCACCCCATGTCCCAGCAGTGACACGTGTCACGAGGAGTCTGCATAAGGGGATTGTATTGGGTTTATGTGGCAAGGTGTTGGTAGCAGGGGGCTGCGGGGGTGGTCTTCTATGAGAAGAGATCAGGAGCTGCCCCATGCCAGGCACAGCTGGCTCCAGCCAGCTCCCAAACAGCCCGGCCCCTGGCTAAAGCTGAGCCAGGAGGAGCTGCTGGCACTTCCCTGATAATATATTTAAGAAAGGGTAAAAACCGCTCACAGCAGCTGTGAGAGAGGAGTGGAAAAAATGTAAGAGAGACAGCCCTGCAGAAACCAAGGACAGAGAAGAAGGAGGAGGAGGAGGTGCTCCAGATGCCGGAGCAGATATTCCCCTGCAGCCCATGGAGGTCCATGGTGGAGCAGGTCTCCACCTGCAGCCCATGGAGGACCCCAGAGCAGGTGGATGCCTGAAGGAGGCTGCAGCCTGTGTAGAACCCACGCCGGAGCAGGTTCCTGGTAGGACCTGTGGAGAGGAGCCCATGCGGGAACAGCACTGCAACCTAAGGTTCCTGCTTTGCTGATGACACCAAACTGGGACGTGTGGTAGACACACCGGAAGGCTGTGCTGCCATTCAGCGTGACCTGAAAAGGCTGGAAAGTTGGGCAGAGAGGAACCTGATGAGGTTCAACAAAGGCAAATGCAGGGTCCTGCATATGGGGAGGAACAACCCCATGCACCAGTACGGGCTTGGGGCGGACCTGCTGGAGAGCAGCTCTGCGGAGAGGGACCTGGGTGTCCTGGTGGACGACAGGTTAACCATGAGCCAGCAGTGTGCCCTGGCTGCCAAGAAAGCCAATGGAATCCTGGGGTGCATCAAGAAGAGTGTGGCCAGCAGGAC